AGGAAGTTGTTGGACAGCCATCTAGGAGGCAGCTTTTGAAGTGGGAGGAGTGGTCAAACCTTGAAGTATCAGCCTGGAGAGAACAAATACTGAAAGACATACATGCTGTGAACTGATACCTTGTTCTCCAAACGTGTCAGGAACTTGTTGATTGACCATCTGCTGAGATTTGGTATGTGGCAAGACAGATCCTTGGCTGTTGATATTTCTACCAGGGGCTGGTGGGATTGTGAAATGATGATGTCCTATTTCGTTAAACATTGAATTCTTCGACCTCTGTACACTGTCTGGTCTTAGAAAATGGTTGGACTTTTGTGACCCAAGCACTTGAGATAGCTGTAAGTCAAAGGCCTTATGTTTGTTATAGTTTTCTTGTGTGGCACTTTTACCTGACAATGGATAGATTCTGTTGCAGGATGTGGTATTTTTTATCGCAGCAGCAGCATTTTCATTTCTTTCAGAAAGTGCAGGGTATACCAATGAAGTGTTTTGTGACTGTGATGTCAGAGGCATTCGGTAATGAGATCTGTCTGAATTCCAAGGAGCTGTTGGAAATGATTCGTAGCTCCGGGAATACAGACTGTTTTCTCCAGCAGCGGTAGGACGTACTCTGTTGTCTCCAGCAGCGGTGGGACGTACTCTGTTGTCTCCAGCAGCGGTGGGACGTACTCTGTTGTCTCCAGCAGCGGTGGGACGTACTCTGTTGTCTCCAGCAGCGGTGGGAGGTACTCTGTTGTCTCCAGCAGCGGTAGGACGTACTCTGTTGTCTCCAGCAGCGGTGGGAGGTACACTGTTGTCTCCAGCAGCGGTAGGACGTACTCTGTTGTCTCCAGCAGTGGTGGGAGGTACACTGTTGTCTCCACCAGCGGTAGGACGTACTCTGTTGTCTCCAGTAGCGGTGGGAGGTACACTGTTGTCTCCAGCAGCGGTAGGACGTACTCTGTTGTCTCCAGTAGCGGTAGGACGTACTCTGTTGTCTCCAGCAGCGGTAGGCTGTGCTGGCTTCATGTTGCAGTTTTGCTGAGACTTGATCACTTGTGACAGTGGCATGCAGAATGATGCTTTAGGAAAGGATGTAGTGTTTGCATCGTGTTCTGAATGATATGGGGAGCCCATGGTTTCTCTCCACTGATGCTGGAATTCTAGTGATCTGATCTGCTGCGTACACTAGGACAGACACAGATTTTAGTACAGATCACTAAGGATATCAGCTATACAAAAAATAGTAAATTAAGAATAACAATCCATCTTGGAGCGGGTACTTGTGACAAAGACATGCACAATTGTGATTTTGGGAGCGATGTATTGCTGGCATCTTGTTCTCATTCATTTGAGGAGCCCATGGTTTGCTTCAGCTGATGCATGAATTCTTCGCAATAACAACAGTAACCACTGATGTAACAACAACTACTGATGTAACAACAGCAACTACCAATGTAACAACAGCAACTACCGATGTAACAACAGCAACTACTGATGTAACAACAGCAACTACTGATGTAACAACAGCAACTACTGATGTAACAACAGCAACTACTGATGTAACAACTACAATTACTGATGTAACAACAACAACCACTGATGTAACAACAGCAACCACTGATGTAACAACAACAACAACCACTGATGTAACAACAGCAAATACTGAGGAAACAGTAACAACAATTTATTTAACAATGACAACCAATGAGGTGATTATAATAACCTTTAAGGAAACATCAACAACCACTGAGGTAACATTGACAACCACTGATGAAACAACAGCAACCACTGATGTAACAACAACAACCACTGATGTAACAACAGTAAATACTGAGGAAACAGTAACAACCATTTATTTAACAATGACAACCAATGAGGTGATTATAATAACCTTTAAGGAAACATCAAAAACCACTGAGGTAACATTGACAACCACTGAGGTAATAATAACAAACATGGGCTATTCTCCGAATAACGGACACGATATATGGCGGCCAAAAACAGGGCCTCGGTCACGTGTCAATTGCGCACTTCCGGCGACCTAATTTGCGGTTTTCTGGCGACTACCGCCAGCGCCGAGAGTATCCCCCACGAGCGAGCAAAACTGCAGGAGATGCGGAAGTTGCTGCTTGTGAGTCCCAGCCATCTAGTTTAGCCCCAATCCACGCTGCGTGAGCTACGTGAGGAATACTTTCGGCGGGAACGGTAGTTGCCGGAAAACCTCAAATTTGGTTGCCGGAAGTGCGCAATTGACACATAACTGAGGCTCTGTTAAGGTGTTTTTGCGGCCGCCATCTTTTGTGCCCAATATTCGGAGGATAGCCCAAACATGTATGTAATAATGACAACCATTTATATAACAATTACAAGCACTGAGGTAAATATTACAACCACACAGGTAACAATGAGAATTAATATGATAATGAAAAGCCCCTGAGATGATTATGACAATCACTGATGTAACAATGGCAAACATTTATGTAACAATGACAAACATTTATGTAACAATGACAACCACTATGGTAACAATAGGAACTACTACAACATCTATTGAGGTAAAAATGACAGCCACGTTTTTTCTTTCTTTTTTTTTCACAATAACAACCACTGAGGTGACAATAACTTCTGAGGTAACCATAACTAGTACTATGATAACAATGACAACCAGGTGATTTTGACAACCACTGAAGTAATAGAAAGGAGCATAGAGGTAATAATTACAATAGCTGATGTAACAATGTTACAACATTTAATTTACGTAATACTGACTAGTGTGTATGTAACAACGGCAATTTGTTGATTTATTTTTGGGTGGGGGGGGGGGGGTGGGGAGATCTTTTACATTATAACATAAATCTTGGCTAACCTCCGATAACGGGCACAAAAGATGGCGGCCAATAACAGGGTCTCAGTCATGTGTCAATTGCGCACTTCCGGTGACCTAATTTGCGGTTTTTTGGCGACTACCGCCACCGCCAAGAGTATCCCTTACGCCGCTCACACCCTGATTGGATTAAGGCTAAACTAGATGGCTAGGACTTATGAGCAAAGCTGCAGGAGATGCTAAAGCTGCTGCTCGTAAGTCCCAGCCATCTAGTTTAGCCCTAATACACGCCGCACGAGCGGCGTGGGGGATAACTCTCGGCGGTGGCGGTAGTCTCAGGAAAACCGAAAATTAAGTCGCCGGATGTGCGCAATTGACACGTGACTGAGGCTCTGTTAGGGTGTTTTTGTGGCCCACATCTTTTGTACCCGTTATCCAAAGGATAGCCTAAATCTTTATTTGATGTGTTTAAAACGTCACTTGAGCAGCAGCGCTGATTGTGTAGCTTACGTAGTAGTTCTTGTAATTTAGTTAATAGAATGATATCCTGTTAACTTTTCAGCAAACTACTGAAGTACAAATTTACCTGGAAACCCACAACATCCAAAAAATGCTTGTGTTGGTTTTGCAAAGGATACGAGATACGCAATTTACTTTTTTAACCTTTCTACATTTTAATTAGGAAATGCGATTCAGTGAATCATTCACTACACAAAAATAAGCTTACAGTGTTGCCATAGTAAGTTTAAAACAAATACACTATTGACATTTTCTTTAAGAAATAATTTATAAATTAAAAACAAAAATATATCTGCAAGTAAAAAAGTATGTCAAATAACAGGTTGAACTCCCCTACCACGACATCGAGAATGATTTGTGAGCGGGAGCTGGCTTTGCTGTACTGTAAACATAACTCAAGAAATCAAGACAGTCTGAGGTGAGAACACAACTCATGTATTCTGAATTTGAAACAAAGTAAACTTTCCTTAAAGAACAAAGGAGTACCTTTACGAAGACTGTGTAGCGTGTTTGTGTCTACAACGTGATTTGTACGGCTTCCAATAACAAGTGAAAATCTTCACGATGGACGCAGTCGTCTGCAGCTCTAGCAGACGACACCGGGAATGTGCCGGTTTGGTCTGGGATTGTTCAAATTATGTTTTTCTTTCGTCTTATTCTCCTCCTCTACCTCTGTTTCTCTTTACCTTATCAAAGTGTTGGAGGAAGGTTCAGCAGTACTTTTATTACCTCGAAAAAAAAAGGGAGGGGGAGGGAAGCTGGTATCACCAAAAATCGATTAAAAAAAAATGTCGATAAACATCACAAACTGTAAAAGAAATGATGTCTCAACACAGGTGTTGGTACTGCCAGGCATGAAGGGGAAAAGGGAAAAGGTAAAGGGGGGGGGGGGGGGCTGCACATCGTTCTGGCGCTCAGCAGGACTTCAAGGAGCTCGTGGAGTGGAACATTAGTTTTTGTAATTGTTTATTAAAGGACATTCAATTCTGTATAATCCAGCAGAGAAGGCCTTGCTGTTCTAAAATATTTTGTGAAATAAAAGGTGTGTGTATATTTGTGCGCGCACGCGCATGAGTGTATATATATATATATATATATATATATATATATATATATATATATATCACGGCCAGCTCCTGCTTTTTATGCTCGAGTGGGTCATGGTGTGTGTATTTATATATGTGTGTGCGTGTGTATGTGCGCTTGCGTGCGCGCACACGTGTGTGTGCGTGCGTGTTATTATTATTTTTTTGTTTGTTTTTGTTTTGAAAAAGGATCAACATCAGGGCACAAAGGTGGTAACACATAAGTGTCCTGTCCTACTTCTAACTGAAGCCTGAGTCCGAAGAATCTCAGCGCAATGCACGAACTCCGTAGCAGCAGTGAGGATCCTGAACTTATTTGGGTAGATTTTTAACTCCAAATTTGTGTCTGGGCAGCTTTGTTAGGCTACTTTTTTGGATTTCCAACTGCCAAGGGAATTTTATCACTTGCGCAACAATACACACAGGAGTTCGATCTTACTACCAAGAGACCCGGAAAAATTACACGTTCATCCACAGAAACATACATTTTTTTTTTAAATGTTAAAAATCAAAAATTTGCTATTCTGTCATGTATTCAACGATGAAACCCCGCCCCAAAACGCATTGCTACGTCTCTCGTTCGCACGGAATTAACTTGATGTTCTTTCTTGGACCTTGTTCAGCTTCCGGGTGATCGCTGGAACCGTGTAGAGAAGTGGATTAACGGCTGCATTGATAGGCAAGATTAGCACGGCTGTCCAGGCATATGCTTCGATGCCGATAGTATAACCGCTCTGCACCATGATTCCCATGACGCCTATGGGTGACCAGAAGAGGAGGTTTGTGATGGCCACAACAGCTAGATTTTTAGCCACAGCCAAATCTTGAAACCGCCTGGAGTTGCTGTTGGTTAGTGACGTTTCCTTCATTCTCATGGCCGACACGGTTCTGTAAATAATCACCTGGCCAAAGGCAATCAAGACAAACAAGGAAAAGTTCAGGAAAATGAAGACGGTAATGGCAAATTCCCTTCCAGAATCTTTATAGTTGGCCAGTGGGAGTCCCAGGCACATCCCGTTAGTGTTGTAGATATTGAGAAAGTGGCTGAATGGCAACAGCGGAATTAATGCAACAGAAAATCCGACGATCCAGGTAATGCAGCAGCAGATATTTACTGACCTCCCAGCAATTCTCGTCTGTCCAAATGGGTATCTTATCACAAGAAAGCGGTCGATCGTAATCAGCGCAATAAACATTGTAGACACCTCAATGGAAAGGGTGGACAAGAAACCAGCGGTGTTGCATACAATGCTCTTCCTCCATGTAATCTCTTCCCAGATGTACTTATCTCTGAAGTGAATGTCTGCTATAGCGATAATGCCCAGGTAAATGCCCATGAAAAAGTCCGAAATGCTGAGATGTGTTACAAAGTGGCCATAGGCCATTGTGAAAATACTTCGGTCAAAGAACAACCGGTAAATAATAACTGCCAGATTTCCTAACACTGCCAAAATACAAGCAGCCCACAAAATGATGCGGAGAGCAAACTTACTCATGAGGTCTGCGCATGACGAGAAAGGATCTTTTGTGAAAGAGCAGGAGCTGATATTTGTACTGGCATTGTGAAGTTGTGGGCAGCAGAGTTTGAAAGAATCGGTACGGAGATGAACCGAGACCACGACATGTTTAAACATATCAGCGTAAGGCAGGTTGTTGACCAAAGTGTCTCTGAGGTCTAGAATCTCAATGGTGGTCGGGGGCAGAAATCTAACGTCAGTTATACGAGTCTGTCTCAGATTTAAAAGTTTCACATCTTTGAGAAATGAAAATGTTAGCTCTGATAAAAATGCTAATCCTGTGTATGATAGGTCAAGATATTTGACTTTGCTAATTTCATATTCAATACCTTGCAGGCTCACTAGTTTTTCATTGTGACTGAGGTTTAGGTCATATAAATTGGTCATGCAACGAAAGATGCTGTTGGCCGAAATGTTAGTAATATCGTTGTAGCTTAAGTCCATGCGTCTGATCGTGCCCAGGTTACATGTCGGTACTGCCAGGGAGGTGCTGACAATGCTGCAGTTGGACATTTTTACTTCAATCAGATTTATGGTGCCGTTACGGAAAAAGATCGGGAAATCTTTAGATAAATTAATGCCAGATAAATCTAAATATCGAATTGTGGGATCAATTAAATTAATGACTTCGGAAGTTTTGGCTTTTTTATAATCGTTGACGATCATAGTGCCGGCTAGACAGCGAAAGCCATCCAGGCAATTCAAGAAACAGTTTAACTCATCATCGCCTTCTGGGCAGTCTATCCTGCCATCGCAGACCAACTTCGGGTGAAGACACAGATGTGAATTTCCACGACTGATTGGAACCTGACACATAAAATAGAAGGGGCACTCTAAAAATTGCATTTCGTAATCTTCATCTGCTCCGTGAGGGCAGTCCATGATTCCATCCCGTATATAATGTGTAGGGATGCAGTAGGATTGCGGGCACTGGTAATATCCATCTGGGCAAGTGAAGTTTTCGCAGCCTTGCAAATGGCGCATGTTTCTACACCCAAGTAGCTCACCGTAGATATCCTTAACATAGACACATTTCGGGCCCCAATTACTGAACTGAGACGGTACACTGTCTGACACCGTGTGGCATGATGCAATCTCAAAAGCCCCAATTGTCTCATCTATCGGTCCTTCGGGTCCTTTGCAGTGCAAAATAGAGTCGTTTAACATCCACTGAAACACGCATTCAGTACGATTACATGTAAATAGACAATGCGCTATCTTATGTGTCTGGACATAATCCATCTCGTACGAGATGTTGTTACTAGAACCACATCCCGCGCAGTCCATTTCCCCATCTGCGAACCAGCTTTTCGCCATGCACCTGCCATCTGTGCATAAGCCATGTTGGCATGTGTCACAGTTGACTTCGTCGCTGTTGTCCTGGCAGTCAGGCACCAAATCGCACCAGGAGTCTGTGGGTATGCACTGCCCACTGGCCGCGCATTCCCTCTCCTCTGAATTACATTTTCTGCAAACAGTTTCATCAAGAGCGAAAGGGCAGTCTCGGGTGACATCGCAGACAGAAGTGTAAGGTATCTTTCCGTCATTTCCTTCGCAGTGGTACAGTTTAATCTCGCTCAAGGCAACAGTGATCTCCATCTTGTGATTAACATAAGCGAAGCCGTTCACCGCCGCCCGCTCGGATTTCCACAGTTTTAAAAGTGGCGATAACGACATAAACATGTTTACATTTTGCACAAAGCCTATCTCTCCGCGCCCAATGGCTCGAGTAATGCTTTCATAATCCGGAACCTTTAAATTAAATTTCTTGTCGTGGTGAGACGGGGAATTAAGCGGGACGTTGATTATATTCTCACACAAGTAGTATTTTGTAACCGCATGTCCACATCCTACAGCAGTCCATGTACCCTTCGTTGTCGCTAGCAGAAGCTTGTCCGAGTTGTTCATCAGCTCCTCATTGATGTTTGAAGAGTATGATAGATTAAACAAGTCCCACTTGACGCAACCCCGAATGCTGCCCCCTTGTGGTTCTAAGTGTCCCCAGTGAGTATACACAAGAGGATGATCGTTCAGCCAACGAAATCGCTTCCCAACTGTTGACTTTAGTCTCCGTAACCCGATATATATTGAAACATGGTCTGTGATACCCTCGACCACTGGCATTTTCTCAATCTGTTGATTTAGTTGTTGTCTCAGTGTTATCAGTTCCGTCTTCGTTTCTATAGACACCAATTGAGAATTACTTCCTTTACACAACTCATTGGCATCTATCCAACTGATTTGGTTGGGACTCGATCCCAGCTTGTAGCATGATGTACCTATAGTTTTACCAAAGGCCGCTGATTGGCTGGCACCGCCAAACCAGCCGAGGAAGCAAGACTTACACATGAGAATCGACATAATTGTTCCAAGGTCGCTACGAATGTCGGCTATTTTATATATTGCCACACTGGATGTCAGTTTTAGCCGATCCGGGGGCATATCTTTTAACACGAGCATGAATAACTTAACTATCACATTATGGTCGGAAATATCAAAATCATTGTGCAGATCGCTTTCAGAATAGGACAAATTCATGTTCTGATGGCTGCCAAACATAACAATCACAAGTGTAGTGTTTTTCCTTATTCGGTCTGTCTCATTTAAAGACATCGCGTTTAAATACGGTATCGCCTCCATTGGGTTTGAGTTCTTTTTAAATTCCACAAACTCTTTCTTCAAAGCACGTTTCAGATAAACTTTTTCAGTGTACGAACTAAAATGCTTTCTTTCTTGAATCACGGACTCCCCTGTAACATTATCTTCGGTTGCAACTAGCAGGTAGATTCTGATTCGGCTGTTTAACGTCTTTTCTTCAGGGGGAAGAAATATATCCACAACACTTGTAAAAAACTGCATCTGTTTGTCTGCCCACCAGATTTTCTGCTTCCTCTTGTAAGTACTTACAAGAGAAGCGTCCGCTACAAAAACCAGATCAATTGTTCCTGTTTGACAGCTATCCATTGCCCATGCGTTGGCTGAAACAGCGGAAATGGCAAATCCTGAAATAGAAATGGTATATGAAGTTGCTACAGCAAAAAGTTGGAGCTGGAAAACATCCTCTATGAAAAGCATGTCAGTGTATGCTGCATCCAAGAGACCCATTTGCAGGCAGATCAGATATTTAAAGTGAGAGGCTACCAGTGCTTCAGATCTGACAGACAAGGCAGGCGAAAAGGAGGAGTACTCACCCTTGTGAAAAACAGTATCCATCCATGCGAGAAAATGTCTTATATGGATGGAGCTGAGTACCAACTCCTGCAGCTTAAGACAGACAAAGTGGAATTAGAACTCCTTAATTACTACTGTCCCAATGACAAATCGCTAAACCTCAGCTCTGTGCCAGTACCAAATACCAACTTTATTGCAGTTGGAGACTTCAACAGTCATTCACAGAGCTGGGGCTATAACCATCTCGACAATAGGGGTGAAGAGGTGGAAACATGGCAAGATGACCACTCTCTGATCCTGATAAATGCCCCCTCAGATACGCCTACCTTCTACTCCAGAAGGTGGCAGACAACGTCGACCCCAGATCTTGCCTTCTCTACCCCAGATATATCTGGAATGATAAGTAGAGAGGTGGGAGACCAGCTTGGGGGCAGTGACCATCGCCCGATTTTTCTCACTGTCCAGAATGTACCAGTTAGTACAGGCCCAGTCATCACAAGATGGAACTACAAGAAAGCCAACTGGGGCCTGTACAGACACAGGACAAGCACATTGTTGTCTGCTCTCAAGGTAAAAAATAGGGATATCAATGCTATAGTGCACGATTTCAATAGAAGTATTCTACAAGCTGCAAAAGAAGCAATCCCCAGAGGCTGTCGACACAACTATAGACCGTACTGGTCCAGCACACTCCAGGAATGCCAGGAAACAATGAATCAGACTAGAAAGGATGCAGAATCCCAACCTTCACCTGACAACCACATCAAATGGAAAAGGGCTGTAGCAGTGTTCCAGAGAACTAAACTTGAAGAAAAACGGAAAAGCTGGAGAAATAAAACAGCAGCTCTAAACCTTGATAAAGATGGCAAGAAACTCTGGAGATTAGCCAAATCACTCAATGAAGAGAGTTTCTCGCCTAGACAAACAATCACGCTAAGTGATGGTGACAAAATCTTCAGAGGAAAACAAGCTGCAGATTTGTTTGCCAAAACATTCAGTGTTGAAAGCGACCTGACCCTTAATGAGGACCATCAGAGAGAAATAAGGAAAGAAATACAAACAAGCAAACAAACAAATAAGAGACAGACAGATACTCCTGCCTCTATGAGGGAGCCATTTACCATGGGTGAACTACAAAATGCCATCTTTAGGCTTAAGTTAAAAAAGTCTGCAGGTCCGGATGAAATCAGCAACGAAATGCTAATCAACCTGACCTCATCTGCTAAAGTAAAGCTGCTGGAAATTTTCAACATCAGCTGGGAGAAAGGTTTAGTGCCTCAAGTATGGAGAGAAGCCATCACAATACCCATTTTAAAAAAAGGAAAAATTAAGACACAGGCTTCGAGCTATCGCCCAATTAGTCTCACAAGCTGTGTAGGAAAGACATTGGAAAGAATTGTAAATTCAAGACTGAAATGGCACTTAGAATCTGAGCAGATCTTGGTGCCAGAGCAGGCTGGGTTTAGGGAATGTCACAGCATAGAAGATCAAGTCACCTACCTGTCACAAGCTGTAGAGGATGCCTTCCAAGAGAAGAAAAAGGTCCTGGCGGTATGGGTTGACTTCAAACAAGCTTTTGACAAAGTCTGGAAAGATGGTCTCATTGCAAAACTGAAGAGAAATGGAATCCAAGGAAACATGCTAAAATGGATCCAATCCTTCTTACACAGCAGAAGAACTAGAGTCAGTCTTGATGGCCAGCAGAGTAGAAAAGTGTTACTTCGGCAAGGAGTACCACAGGGAGGAGTTATCTCTCCAACTCTCTTTCTTGTGTATATAAATGATCTGGTGAAAGACCTCCCTACAGGAGTAAAAGCTGCCCTGTATGCAGATGATCTGGCACTCTGGTGTACCGATGAACACACCACAGTGGCAAATATAAGAATGCAGCGAGCAGCAGATCTCTTGATGACATGGGCAGAAAAATGGCATGTTGCCATCAACACAGACAAAACATCCACAACGCTTTTCTCTCTTTCCACCAGGGACAAAGCTGCTAGTATTCACCTAGGAACATCCTTGCTAAAGGAAGAAAGCTTCCCCACTTATCTTGGAGTAACATTTGATAAAAGGCTCACATGGAGCAAACATATAGAAAATGTAGAAGGGAAGGCCAGGAGACGACTAGGCCTACTTAGAAAATTGGCAGGTACAGGATGGGGAGCAAATGGAAAAACCCTAAAGAAAGTTTATAATGGAGCGATAAGACCCCACTTGGAGTTTGGTGCAACAGCATGGTCAACAGCTGCTAATTCCCACCTACAATCGTTAGACAGAGTGCAAAATCAAGCTCTTAGACTCATCACAGGATCCATGAAAACTGCACCAATCCTGAAGATGCAGAAAATAACTGCAATGCAGACATTGTCCTATAGAAGAGACACTAAAACTATGATCCAGATGGAGAAGTTTAATAGTATGCAGTCACACCCAATGAATAAAAGGTTAGATGATCTGGCATTAGGGCGTCTCAAACGTAGCAGCTTTGTCCATCGGGGGAAAAGACTTAGAAGACAGTACCAAGCTGATCTACCTATTAGAACAACACCGCTGAAACCTACCCTATACCCTGTACCTTGGGAGCAAGTCAGTGATACAATACAGATAATGACTTCAGTCAATGGATTCACAACTGGAGATGAGTCCAATGATCTTCAAAAACGAACAGCTGCTCTTAGCATGATTCATGAAAACTATCCCGAACAGTCATGGATACATATTTACACAGATGGATCAGCAACCAGCGCGGTTAAAAATGGGGGTGCTGGAGTCTTTATTACATACCCAGGCAACCACCGCCACACAAAGTGGATACCCACTGGTAAATTCTGTTCCAACTACACAGCAGAGATTGTAGCACTAGAGCAGGCTGCCGAAATGTTACACAACACCAGTTCTGACTGCCACCAAGTGGTTATATTCACAGATGCGCTTTCAGTGCTTCAAGCCCTCAAGAGTGGCAAACTCCCTCACTTGAGATCTAAACTTGGCAAGGTGGCTGCCCAAAAGTGTACTGTACTCCAGTGGGTGCCATCCCACTGTGGTATACCAGGAAACGAAACCGCAGATAAACTTGCTAAAAAAGGGGCAGAATGTGACCAAGAAGAGAATGCAGTAACATACTATGAGAAGAAAAGGGCCATCCAGGCTATCAGAAGTGAACAGAGTCTGGCCAGAGATGACTACCACTTACTTGACCGGCATGGGCAGGTCATTGTCCTACGTCTCAGGACAGGACATAACAAACTTAACCAGCATATGCACAGGCTTCGTCTAAGTAGTTCACCTTTTTGCCCTTGTGGGCTATGTGTGCAGACTACAGAACATGTCCTGCAAGACTGTCCCTTGTTCAGCCCATTAAGAAAGGAATACTGGCCCAGTGAGTCACCACTGTACACAAAGTTGTATGGGACTAAAAATGAACTCATTAAAACAGTCAAGTTTATCACAAGAACCTGTCTGTCGGTGTAAATCAGAAAGCGAACACAAGAAGAAGAAGAAGAAGTATATGAAGTTGATGGTTTTTAACGAAAACCTGTGCCACTGAAAATAGTTTTAGTATGGCCTATAAATAGCCAAACTTAGTGTGATAAGATTAGCTGAGATTTTACGTTTTATATATATATATATATATATATATTCTTCTTCTTCAGCATTCCGAACCCTTGAGGTTCATTGCTGCAGATATCATCCACCTCCACTCATCTCTCTGGGTGGCCTTCTTTTCAGTTCGTGACACCAAGTGTTTCCAAGTCTGTCCTAATATTATCTCTCCATTGTCTTCTTGGTCTGCCTCGTGGTCTACGACCATTCAGCTCCTTTGTGTATACAGTTTTGACATCTCTGTCATCTGACATTCTCTAAATAGGCCCCAGCTATTTCAGTCTGTTAGCCCTCATGATGCCAGTGATCAGTGGTGATTTAATCAGAATATCAATTTCGTTGTTGCTTCTCGCTCTCCATTCCCCGCTGTTTGCATCTTCGGTAGGTCCAACGATTCGTCGTAAGACTCTGTTTTCGAAAACCTGTAATAGGGCTTTATCTCTTTTAGTTGTGTTCCACGTTTCAGAGCCACTTAAAACAACTGGTCTTTTCAACTTGTTATATATTTTGATCTTAGTGTTGTGTGTGTGTGTGTGTGTGTGTGTGTGTGTGTGTGTGTGTGCGTGTGTGTGTGTGTGTGTATTTGTATAATTTGAAACAATATTTTCCAGTTAAGAATTAAATAATGCGGATTCACACAATATATTGCACAATTATTACCAACAGCAAATAAAAACACAAGAACTGTTAGAACAACACCCGTCTTTAAATTTATTGAGAAACAAAGAATGAAATGGTTTGACCATCTTATGAGATTGAAACCAACGATGCCAGCAGCAAGGGGGTACAACCTGAAAATCGAAACATCAAGAGGCAGGGGAAGACACAGAAGAAGATGGATTTAAGGAGTCACTGACACCTTGAGACTGCATAAGATCATGGCATATCAAGCGACTGAGCGCGCCCTGGCTCGCCTGCCGATCGTCTGATGAAATGCGACACCTAGCGGCATAAGCAAATATTGGCAAAAGAAAAAGTAAAGTAAAATTAAAGCTACCCTGGTAAGTAACTGAACTACTGTGAACTTCCGGTAACAAGACGAACATGATGCGTTGAGAGAAACCATTAGCATATCAATGGAATTG